CTCTAACTAGAAGAGTTTGGCTCTGTGCCCTGTTCCATTTCTTTTAAAGACTCTGTGCATCATACTACTGTGATGGGGCTAAAATCAAAATCAATCTGCAAAAAACAGTGCTGTTTGGGTCTTTGCACAGATACCTCCCTATTCACTCTTTTTAAAAATTTTATTTATTTTTAATTAGTTTCAAGTATACAGTACATTGATTAGACATCTAGATAGTTCATAAAATGATTCCCCCAATTACTCCCTCCCTCCCCTGACCCTCCACCTAGCCAACATATTAATGCTAACTGCATTTCCTATGCTATGCTCCCCATCCCCGTGACCATCCATCATCTATTAATTTGTACTTCTTTAACCATTCACCCCATCTCCCAGTCCCGCAAACCCCCTCCACTCTGTCCATCACCACATTGTTCATTATATTTGTGAGCCTGTTTTTGATTAGTTTGTTCTTTTTATTTCTTAGATTTCGCATACAAGTGAAATCATATAGTGCTTATCTTTCTCTTTCTGACTTAAATACCTTCTAGGTCCATCAAAGCAATATTTTTATCCATACCCTTCTTTTCGGTCTGTGTGTGTCTTTTAATCTGAAGTGAGTCTTTTGTGTTTTTTCTTCTTAAAGAAGTCCCTCCAACATTTCCTGTAATACTGGCTTGGTGGTAATAAATTCCTTTGGCTTATTTTTGTCTGGGAAGCTCTTTATCTGTACTTCCACTCTAAATGATAGCTTTGCTGGATAAAGTATCCTTGGTTGTGGATCCTGGGTCTTCATCCTTTCGAATATTTTTTGCCAAGCCCTTCTATCCTACATAGTTTCTTTTGAGAAAACAGCTGCCAGTTGTATGGGTGTTCTCTTATAAGTAATTATCTGTTTTTCTCTTGCTGCTTTTAATATTCTTTGTATTTAACCTTTGGCATTTTAATTATGATGTGTCTTGGTGTGGGCCAAGATTTTTGGATCCCTGATTTTTGTAATTCTCTGAGCTTTCTGGGGTTTTATGTCCATTTCCTTCACCAGGTTATGGCAGTTTTCCATCATTATTTCTTCAAACAGCTGTTTAACATCTTAATTTTCTTCATTTATGCTGATCAGATGGATATTTGGACCCTTAATGGTGTCCCATATGCTCCTTAAATTATTTTTATAGTCTTGGCATCTTATCTCTTGCCATTCTGATTGAGTGTCCTTGGCTTTCCCATCCTCTAGATAGGGCATTTAATTCTTTTATTTGTTCACTTTGTTTATTCCTTTATTTGTTCCAGTTAATATACTTCTCATCTCAGATAATGTGTTCTTCATTTCTGATTGGTTTCCTTTTATTTTTCCATTTCCATTTTTATGTTTTTTTTTTATAATCTCTTTCAATTCTGCATCTGTTAGATTACTTGACTCCATTATTTCTGGATCTCTGTTCTGTTCTCTCATACGGTTTCTGCTTCTTTATCTTCCCATTTTGGCTGCCTTTCTGTGTCTGTTTCTATGTACTAAGCAAAGCTCCTAAGTCTCCCGGCCTTATTAATGTGGATTTGTGAAGTAGGTGTCCAGTGGCACAGTCCTGAGAGGGGTTCAGCTGCAAGCCAAATTTAGCCCCAGCTTCTACCCCTCCGGGCCCACCTGTTAAGATTCAGCAAGCAATCCATAGATGCTTTGCTTATAGTTGCCTCAAAAGGACACACCAGAAACCGAGGCCAGCTGCCTCCAGTGTGAGTCTAGGCACTGTTCAATAAGAAGCACCTGACTTGCTGAGGTTATACCTGGATATGGCTTGGGTGGAGCCATGATTTGGGGGGAGGCAGGGTTTCAGGGAATCCTCTGGGCAGAACAACCTCTGTTATCCAGTTTGATGACGTCATGGCTATGGCGATCAATGTGTCCGACACACTGGTATGGGGGAGGGCTCAACAGGGAACGATGGATACTGCTGGCATTTCTGTACAGAGTGAGTCTCGTCTTGGCCCTCACTCTGACAATATCTCCCTGTAAGTCCCTGGTGCCCCCTGTGTGCAGAAGAATTGGCACTGGTGCTCAGAGCGAGCAGGTCTGTCACCACGAAAATCCGCTCACGGACGTGGCCCCTTTAAGAGGTGTCTGCCACAGCCTCCACCTCCATCTCAGCAGCTTGAGACCGAGAAACCCCACATCCTCTCCCCGTCCTACTTTCTGCCGTTGCAGGGTGATTTCTTGTATTTCTCCTTAGTTGTATGGCTTATTCATCTAGATCCCAGGCTATTTTTCCTAACTGCTGCTCCTTGTTTCTGTCACAACTTTGATTTGGTTGCCAGAAGGATGAACAGATCCTCTATCATCTACGCCATTATTTTTTCTCCATAAACTAGAAAATACGTCTCACTTTTTGGTGTGCTCTCTCAGCTTTGATTCCATAACATCTCAAAGATTCCAGAAGAGTGTTGAACCATGTGACAAAAGTCTTCAGGTGAGCCTGGAAGCAATCTTTAAATAAAAACCATATTCGCTCTTTTAACCATCTGTTCTCCCTTCTTATCTCCCTGGCATGCTAAACCTAGTTCCACACCTGCTTCTAGAAGCCCTTCATTTTGACCACTTTTATGAACTTCACTCCTTCTCTGGCTTACAGGTCTCAGCTTCCTGCTTTGGCTTTGGTTCTGAATGCTCCTTTGATTGCAGTCACACCAGCAGCTTCCACTAACCTTGTCCCCATGGAAACTATACCAATGAGGCTTGTCCCTTTCTGTCCCTTTTCAGGGCAGAAAATTTGGATATTTGGACAAGTTTGGATGTTTACACTTTTCCTTCACTTAAAATTTCCTGTAACAAACAGGGATAGATTTTAGTGGTCGTATGGGTATCTCTTGTCATCAATGATAGCAGAGAACACATTAATCTGGCAGTTCTATCTTGTTCCACCCAGTTTCCCCCAGCCACACAATACTTATGCAAGACATATTGACTTATACTACTACTTCTTCCTCTTCTGCTCAACTTCCTCTTTCTCCTTCTACTTATATTTACTTTTACAATGAAATCTCTCATCCTTTGATCTATTTTCTTCTTGTTGCCTAACAAGGTTAAAATGCATTAAAGCATTGGCCTCTTAGTACTGCATCAATCTACTCATCTCAGTCATTATGCCAGGACGCTGCCTTGAAATTAGAGCATTTTAGAACATTAGAGCATTGCTTTTTCATTTTATCTGTCATGGACAGGAATATAAGTTGTAAGCATAAACTTATGACACCATTTTTTTCTGGAATATTTTAGAATTTATACACCAAGTTAGCATTCTTCAAAGCAATCACTGAGATAGAATAACACAAGCATCACTATGATACAATCATTACTACAAATATTTGGGGGCTCCTCTTTTGGAATTAAGGGATGACAGAATATAGTGGAAAGAACATGAAGTTCTTTGATTTGAATCACTAATCTGTCACATATTAGCTGTGCAATATTTGTGCAAGTCTTGCTCTCTGAGCTTCCAGTTCCCCATATATAAAATGGGGTTAAAACTGTTTGTCTTGGTGAGTTTTGTAGTGAGTCAATAATGCCCATGAAAGTTCCAGGCATATAGTAAGTGCTTGATATTTTCGTGCTTCCATATTTAGAACCAGTTTACTATTTGTGCAAGAAAATTATTGTCCCTACATACTCTCCCTTCGTTGATGACTCTGTTTGCCCCTCCTGCTTTGTGTTCTGGTCAAACTCAATTATATTATTTTCTTGAAAAAATTAGGAGTAGGAGGGAATTTTTCCGACTTTATCAAAACCTACAGCAAATAAAATAATTAATGGAGAATCTATAGAAGTTATTTAAATCATTAAACCAACAAGGGATTAATATCTAGGATATACAAAAATGACCACTGATTATAAGGAGAAAACAAACAAACAAACAAACAAAGAAACAAACAAGAAACCTGATAGGAAAATGGAGAAAGGATATAAATAGGCAGGTCACTGAAAGAAAAGTCCAAATGGCTACCAAGTTTATGGGAATATTCTCAAAATCACAAATTCTCAGAAATATGTCAATAAAAGACAATGGGATATCACTTTAATACCATAAGAATTACAAAAATTATAAAAGTGGATAATACCAAGGGTTATTGATGTTGTAAGCAGATGGGCCCTCTTATGTACTATTCTTGAGAGTCTTAATATTACAGACATCAATAAGTGGCTTACTTATAAAAGCTTTTTAAGTCATACTTTGTGATTCTATTTATTATAATACTGTGGTGATCATCAATGTACCAAAGCAAAAAATTCCAGTTTTGTTAGGTATATGTATATATATCCAGTTTCTATAATGGATGCTTGCTTTGTGATTCTTAGAATAAAATTATACTAGAAAATATGTCATTTTTTTATGTGTGTATGAAAATATATACAAAGGAAAGAAAACAACCCAAAGCAACTGTACTGTTTTCTTCCTTCCTTTGTAACTACCAGTGTTCTTGAGAAAAGAGCTAGAAGATCCACACAAAAATGGTATTGGCCTAGAGTTAGGGCAAAAAAAAGGGAATAACCTTTTATTGAGCTCTGCAGTGTACCAGGCACCGTGCTGGGAACTTTAAATTGTTAGTTGTCTTGTTGAATCTGTACAATGTTATGAGAGAGTAGGCATTATTATCTCATTGTATGGATAAGGAAAGAGGTTCAGAAGGGCTAAACAGTTTGTCAAAGGATACGGGATTAGAGCCAAGGTCTATTTGGGGTCGTGCTCTTTTTCACTACATTCCCATGAGTGGCTGTAGGAACAAGTGGAAAATGGGAAGCAAAGCTGGAGAAAACTTGGTCAGCACACATCAGAAAGTAAACTGACAGAGCTAAGATTATTGTATTTGTATTTTTTCTG